GACGCAGCCTCCGCAATTTGTTGGCCGGGCATGGAAGATCAAGTTTGCAAACTTCAGAAGGCGATTTACGGACTCAAGCAAGCTCCAAGGTGCTGGTACCTCACTTTGCACCAGTGAGATCGGCTTCGAGCGGTGTGTCAAGGAAGTCTGCCTTTACGTCAAAAGAGTCGAAGACTCGATGGTGCTTTTGACAGTATACGTCGACGACATCACCCCGATGGATCCGAACCGATGGAGACAAGTGCCCATTGACCAGGATTCGTGTCCGTCGTCCAGAGTAGAGTACCCCCACGATGTCAACAAAGGTTTCGACTTTCCAATTTGCCTCGTACCGCTCAAGTCAAGAAAGCTCTTAGTGCCGCCAAGTTCCGTGAGGCGGGTGGACATGCGGTTGCCGACGATGACATCGCTCGGTGTGAAGCAGTGGCGGATGCTTTCTACAAGAACCCTGAAGACATGGACGCATTCATCGAAGACATTCTATTGATGCCCCATTCTCAAGTTTACGAGCTGACAGTGCGCTTGGGTGAAGGCTACCGAGACTGGAAAGAGAAGACTCTGTGCAGTCAATTCGTCAAGGAAAACCCGGGGTCGCTGTGGGGATTCTAGTCGCACCGAATCTGCCACCGAAGACACGCTTCACCTATGTCATTGACAAATTCATCGCGCGGCTTTCCCTGTGGTGCTTCAAGGCTCGGACTCTTGCTGGCAAGATCGCCATCCTCCACTCGATTTGTTTACCCGTGCTGTGGTACCAGCTATCCTTCGTCCCTGCAGACAAGTCATTGGCCAAACTGGTCGACAACGCCATGCTCCAATTCCTCCACGGTGAAGAAATCAACCCGTCCAGCTCCACGCATGTCCTACGACTGATCAAGAAGGACATTGTGTTCATGTCGAAGCACGCAGGAGGTCTTGGCTTACACCACGCGCTGAAGTTGTGGGAGCAACACAACCGGGCCGTGATGATCCGGTGCGTGAAAGCTTTCGCGGTGCCTTCCTCCAGAGCCGGCATCCCCTCTTGGATTACTCCAGGGTACTTCTTGCTCGAAAAAGCGTTTCATCCTTGGGGTTCTCCTCGGGACCTGCTGCTAGCATGCGGCCACTCCCCCTTCCTCAAGACACTAAAGAAGAGCCCGAATGTCACTCCAATGTGGTCCACCTTACTTTCGTCGTGGTTTGAGGCGCGATGGACGCCTTTTGGGTTTCCGTCGAGTGCGCCGTCGTGGCGTGTGCCGTTGTGGCACAACTCCTTCCTGCCTGGACTGGAGAACCTCTACGACCATTGCGGGACTTCCACTCAACCTCAAGCGCTGACTCTCGCGTCCCTCGGTATCACGCAAGTAGCCCATCTTCTTACCCCTTGCGAAAGGCTGTGGCCGCCCGGGCTACTGTTCGACACCGTTCGACGTCTCTGTGTTCGCTCCAACCTTGAGCCCCCAACGAAGAAATGGATCACGATTTTGACAACCAAGCTGTCGACATTGTTTGAAGTCGCCTCGGAGAGCAATCTCCCGCCGTTCCATTTGCCACCTCGTCGACCACCGCTCTTGGAAGGCTCCTGAATCATACGCCCCGACGACTTGCCGATTATGTTGTCAGTAGCAACGTCACGGTCGGCAAAGCTCAGGGCACATCAAGTGGCTGACTTCTCGCTGATTCCTACCAAGCACCTCAACTTGCCGACCGACTTTTACGCCGACCCCAAGCGCCTGAGGCAGCTCGCGATGTTTTCCCGTCCCGACCACATCTTGCCTAGTTATGGCGATCCCAATGTGGGCTGAGTTAACGTCCGATTTTGCCAGACAGGGCGGAAAAAGAGCATTCTTACATATGCCTAGCAATGCTGCAATTGTCCTGGAAGCGTGAGGAGCAGGCTTCGAAAG